GTGAAACGAATTGTGATCTGGTTTGAGGAATGTTATAATATGTGCATATAATTAGGGCCATAAATCGACAAAATAATTACGACAGAATATTTACGACAAAATATTTACGCAAATATTAATAACCTAAATAGGAACTACTTTGAAGCTCAAAAACTAAACTTGGCAACAAGTTACAACAGAGTTATAAGTGAGCTACATACGAGTTGACGAGTAATTCAAAAATATGATAGTTATAGTGGCCCTGGCCCCTGAGTTACGCATTGAATTATTGCAGATAATTCAACTGCCGGAGACTATTCGCTGATGACAATACCACAGCAGAAAGCTAATTAATTAATTAAATTATTCTAACGTAATTGGCAGGATTTCAACTATTACATCAAATATTACATGAACATCGAACCTAGAACTTACACACAGGGCTGTATGCAATGTGTAACAGGCAACAGTGAACAAAAACGCGAACGGAAACTTATAAACACCTCCGGATTAGAATAATCAGCCGCGGGCGGGATAGATTCTGATAATCCCGGCTCCCGCTGTTACAGTGTTAGTTTTTTCCCGCTTAATAAATAACTCCGGCACAGTTTCTATAATCCCGCCCCGCTAATATAATTTGGCTCAACAAGATTTGTTTTGTTTTGAGATTCCATGAGAATTTCATCCGCGCACTGTCGCATGTTTTGATGACGTGCATCACGTGACTAACTATAACTACGACGCGCATTGGTAAAAAATGTCCCGTGACCTAGGTATGGCTTAAGGTAAAAACTATAAATATACACTTGATCTACATATCGGTTTAATTGCAGGCACTGGCAAAACTCCAGCACTCTGCTTACATTACTTGGACTCTTCGATTACTTGGACCAGTTCCACTTCCAGAACTTGTCTCGATGGTTACATTTGTCCGGTAAATTTGTTCGTAGCAATCGCACTATTTGATATGGGCCATGTATTATTTATGAACTTCGTGACACGATATCATTATCATTATGATTTTCTATTTTTCAAAGATTTCTCGGGGAATTTTATGTCCAGTAACTTAATTTAATTAGGGAATCTTGTTACAGTATTTTTTCCCACTCAAACGTGAGATTCATCTATCAGAATTAGTCTCATACAACCTCATCCCGGCCCCTATAATGGAATAGATCATGTGTTTTGTTAAAATCAAAAAAAATTATTGGTAGCAATGTATTGTGCTCTGCCAATTGCATCACTTGATTTAATTGAATGTTTATATACTGTTTGTTACATTTTTCCTATCTCAAAGGGGCACTTCTGGGATCTTAATAGCGATTATACTTTGATGCCCAAAATAAGTAAGCATGATCATGATTCGTATGCAAGCTCCATGTGTTCTAATCCATCGATTGCTAAATATCGGGGAATAAAAGTCAGTTGATCTCAGAACTACAGTTACTTTTCATACTAGAACGATATCTTTAAACACTATTTATTAATTGTGTGAACTGCAATCGAATTGAGTGTAGTTGGGTTGAGTCTTGTAGAGATGGTTATAATGTGGCCATAATCTTTATTATTATTATTAGTAAACTCACTTGGTCAGTGAAGATATAAATTCGGTCAAAAAATTGTAATTTCGATCCAGAAAATCGGCTTATATTTGAAAATGTCACATTTTTAGGGAATTTTATCAAACATTTTTATGTCAAAGGTTGAAAGCTATTCAGGAAACAAAATAATTTTCGATTATTCAGATTGTGTTCTTCGAATTAACCTTTTGTCGGCATGACTGAATGAGCATGTCGAAATTAAAGTTATTATTATTAATACTTAAATATAATTAATTAATTAATCATACATTATTAAAGTTGATATATCATGATCATACTAACTCATTGTAGCAGTGCACTGTATTACCCTGGGACCCAGGCCTGCACTGTATTACCCCAGGTGCACTGTATTACCCCATGTGCACTGTATTACCCCAGCTGGTACACTGTATTACCCCAGGTGCCCTGTATTACCCCAGGTGCACTGTATTACCCCAGGTGCACTGTATTACCCCAGGTGCATTGTATTACCCCAGCTGGTACACTGTATTACCCCAGGTGCACTGTATTGCCCCAGGTGCACTGTATTACCCCAGGCTAGTATGTTCATAAACATAAACAACCGAGTAGAGATTCGGCGGAATGACATGCTGAGCGCCGTCCAGTAATGCACTGTATAACGACTGTAATTAACTCCTATCAGCAATCTAGACAACAGCTATCAATTAGAGATTTATCTTATATCTCAATCTACTCAACTTTAGTTTCTGTCGTGGTTGTGACTTGTGTGTTACTTTCTTGTGTTCTGCCGGTTATATATGGCCGTATACGGTTTAGTGACCATATTTAGTACTCTAGGCCACGATCATATGACTTATAATTCATATGATCGTGGCCATTAAAGTCCCATTAATGTACACTGCACTGTATCACATGCAGCTTATGCCTAATATAAATAGATAAATACATATTATTACCTTATTCGTTAAACTACTGCACACCTCATTATTGTATGAGATAAGGATTATTACTGGAATATTCCTGTTTGCTTATATGTAGTGAGAGTGCAGTCATCTGGATCAGTATTACAGTGAAGTTTATATATATGATGTAATTCTATTAATTATAATTCTCTACCATCGCATTAATCGGAAGTTAAATAGCTCTTATGCCTTATATTACAATTATATTATTATATATTATTATATTACAACTTGAACAGGATCAAGCTGTCACAATTCAGACATTGCACAAGTTCGTTTTTGTCAAATGTATTATATATATCATGATAACTGCCAATAAAGAAACTCAGATAAGACTGCCTGAGCTAGAGCAGAAGCACATGACTTTCTGCTCTGTAAAATCGTGGTGTAGGATTACAATGCACCTGAACCACGTGACACGGTCACGTGCGCGTCTCATCTTAAGATTACACGTGTAACCTGATAACCACGTGCTACACGTGACCCAGGCACGTGGAATAAAGCGTTAAGTCATGTACACGTCAGCTAAGGAAGTAGAAATGTTGCGTACACCACATTTTCCTCTTACTTGTGACTTGTCTTTGCTCCTCGGTCTCTTGACGGTGTCGTGTGAAATTGTGTTACCCTTCCCCAGACTTTACCATTGCTGTCTGCAGAATTTACCATTGTACGAGCGGTTTTTACCTGCCATTAATCATGTAATTTAGGACTGGCGTAGTACTGATCACTTTTACAGAGACTATTATATATTTGTCACCGAGCCAAATTTTAACATTCGCTGAAATCACGACCGTAATTGGAACGCATTTTGACAGGTTATCTTTAGGTTATTTAGCATACCAAACTTTTTAGGGTATCCGAATCACAGTTTTAAAAATTCGGTTTATACTTTTACTCATACTAGTTTTAGCATTCCGGTCATTTTCTAGTGCATTATGTTTATTGTTTCCGCCCTTACCAGTTGATTACTGCCAGTTTATTCATTTGTCCTTTCAGTTCAGTTCATTCTTGAATCTTAAAAGTTAAAGCATGCACGATGAAATTGTTTGTACGGATGAAAACTGACTAAGATTATATTGACAAGTTCGTTATAGTATTATCGTAATCGAACACTTTATCATATGCGTTGGTACTTGGTCATATATACCAATTCTTCTTCTTCTTCGTATAGGGGGCTGTGGATTGGTCATATACCATCTTACCATATAAGTTCGATATTATAGAGAACACTAACAAATGTAGCCATATAATGCATTCTCAGGGTTTTTAAAAAATTTGATACCATATTATGACCATGTTGTACATCAAAAATCTTGCTTTGTTGGGTTATTAAACTATTTTCTTTGCAATACTGGTTGATCTATGCATGAGTTACGGTGTATAATTGTATTGTCGCTTCAAAACTATAAGGAAATTCTATCTCGAGACTTGGAAATTAAATGTACTAGATCTAAATTAATACCGGGTCACAACTGCTTGAATTTATTTGTGGTTCTGTTTTACAAGGTGGGTCAGAAACATCTCATTATTTTTACATTTTGCTGTTATTTGATAACGAAGCAATAGACAGCATGGAATTCTGTGTAACAGAAAATTGGTTTCTCAAGAAAGCCTAAATTCTCAACTGAAATTGGATCTTGAGCCGAAACTGAGTAATTTACAGAATTTTGAGATTTTCTACATGGTCTATACCCCATAAAAACTCCGCACATTTTTTTGTCTGTCAAACTTTACCTGTGGCATCTCTAAAGCCAAGTGAATGTAACCTACAAATTTGGTACTAGTACTACAGTACTACTGTACAAATTTTGCCCTGTACAATGTACTTGAACTATAAGCCTAGGAAGTGTACAGACGTGGGTTCTGGGTTAAATATACCCCTAAACTCAACAACATTCTACTTTTGACTTGATACTTGTCCTTACTTTTGACTTGATACTTTTCGTTAGGGACACCCATGCATTTCACCTTGTAGTGGTTTAAAGAAGTTACGAGTACACAGAGAGCTCGCTCTATAAGGCCGCTGAAGTGATTTTCAAGAAAGTGCTCTACCGTCTCCAACCCATATAATTATACTATTCAACACAAGCTCATTCTTGGAACTGTTCTCATAATTCTAGACTTTACTATATTTTACTTCCTTGTTTGGCGTAATCTGATTCTTGGAAAAACACACCCGCGCTTTGACCATGACACAAACACACACTGTTAGACCTCAGAGTGATACCTTGCAGCAGCCTGCAAACAACTAAAAATAGAGTGTATTTAATCGCATCAAAAATCATGTATCCATTGAATATGTTAAGTTATGATAAATACGCTGAACAGTGAATACGCTGAACATGTTGAGCATGTTGAATACGCTGAACATGTTGAACATGTTGAATACGCTGAACATGTTGAACATGTTGAATATAATGAACATGTTGAACATGTTGAATATAATGAACATGTTGAATATGTTAAATTATAATTAAGTAATAACCAGACTCCGTTCAGACTCGAAATGAATAGTCTTCAAGTCTGCTGCGGGGAGTTCATCCGAATAATCCTCTTTGTTCTGAACTTCATATTCTGGGCTGCTGGAGGAGTGATTTTGGGAGTGGGAATCTATGTAAAGGTAAGCAATCTACGTTATCGGCCCTTCTATTAATCAACTATATACAGCAAACACAAGATAATAGAAAATAAATCATAAAATCGAGTGGCCGAGTAGTCTCGACTCACCCATATAATAGCTTCTCCATAAACGTCTATCATGAGCTTTGTACACTAAATCGTTGATTTAGGCCCTTCTATGGACGACCTTTATTCCAGCAATTTACCTTTTACTGCTACTGCTAGTGCTATAGATAATTTCATGTTCTGCAATTTAGTGGAACGAAATGTTAAATTAGTCTGCTCCTGTTTAAAATTAATAGATTATCAAACCATATCAAAGTACAGTCAGCCAAAACGGCACCTTCATTACTATTAATATCAGTCGTTCAAACATTACATCATCTCGCTGAAATAAATAAGTAATATTATGTGGCATGATTGGTAATTATTAATAATAAACCTGCAGGTACAACTGGAGGATCTCAAGCACATTGAAGTATCACATGACACCCTCCAGACATCAGCGCTCTTCCTCATTTCTCTAGGCTGCATCGTCTTCGTAGTCGGTAGGTTTCTGGCTACTGTCATGGCGATGTCATGGTGATGTCATGGTGATGTCATGGTAATTTGGATTATACCGTAAACCTGAATTTCAAATTTAAATTGCTAAACGTGTTAATTATATATGGACGTTGAGTCTAATAAACTAAGCGAGGGTTCACATATGACGTCAGCAAGATTTTTGCCAATTTTACCACACCCCTCCCCCTGTCAGCTAGGGGTTATAGAAATGCTGACGGGGGGAGGGGGAGGGGGGTTTAGGTAGGGTGTAGGCTTTCCAAACCCCCCTGTGTAGGCGGCTTTCTTGATAAAGCTCGTCCAAGAAATTTCTTACGAAGTACCAACGAAATTAGACTCTTTCAACTCGACCCGTAATATTTATAATATCTCTTATCAAAGTCCGTAGAAATCACGGAAACTATAACATTTAACACTCCCTCTGTCAGAAATACGTTTGGTATTACTTCAAAACTTGTAAAGCATAAGATTTCACTGCGCTCTCCAGTGAAATAAAAGGTGAAAGTGAAACGTTAACTACTTCTCCTTAGGTCTGCTCGGCTGCTGCGGTTCCTTGACCCAAAACAGATGTATGCTCCTGCTGTACTTCTCTCTGGTAACCCTCATCTTCATCGGAGAGATCGCCCTTGCTATCGCAGTCTACGCAAACAAGGACTCCGTCACCAAATCCATCAAGTTAGTAGGCTACCAACACTTGGTGTGACGTTATGTCACGTGGTATGACGTCATGTCACGTGCTATGACGTCATGTCACGTGGTGTGACGTCATGTCACGTCCATTCACGTGATCTTATTATTACAATTACACTAAATTTGAGGAGTTAAATTCATTTTGAAAAGTTTCGTTAATTTTGATACTTAACTCATAGTATTTGGTTAACCACGTGTAAAACTTCAGGGAACAGTTCGGGGACTGTATGGATAAATACAACAACCAGACCGAGCCGATCTGCCAAGACACCATTGACACTCTGCAGGTAAACAACTAATTTATAATATAAGGGGGGGGGGGGGGGGGGGGGGGGGGCAATGGATATTTTTTTGTGAAACTTGATTTCGAGATAGCAGTTGACTAACAAACTAGGACCAGTGACCGAACTTTTGAGGGGGTCCCGGACCCCAACCGGGGTTTAGGCCTCCAAAGCAATTTGGCGGCCAAATTCTGAATTTTTCTGAGAAAATTTTGGAATTTTTTTGGAGCCTAATAAATCAGAAATCTGTTCTCAAAATAAGGTGGAAATGCGATTTCGAGTCGATTCCGAAAATTTCATGGAAAAATTTTGGAAACTGATTGAGTTGTTACAATTTTAATGACATCAATTCTGCGAATATCGCGAACCAAGATACCGGCAATTTAGTTCATGTTTTGTGGTCTTTTCGCCTTAGTATCCACATTTAAACAGATATAAAGCTATAACTTACAGAGAATATGTAGTTTAGTCTTACCTTTCATAAAAAGTAAGTTTCATTAAAAAATATTGATATTTGACCAAATTTGGTGCGTATGCCCAAATATGGGCATATGGTTTTTGGCTCATAACTCAGTCATTTTTTTCCCAATATTGATGAAATTTCATATACGAGTTCAGGAGACCACTAGCTACAATTAGAGCACCATAAACCTGGGTTTTGGGCATTTAAAATTGGGCCTAATTTGGACCAAATATGGGCGTGGCTGCCCCGCGGGCACTGTTTGGCGGTTGCGGTCCGGGACCCCTCAAAAGTTCGGTCACTGGTCCTAGTTTGTTGGTTCACTGCTATCTCGAAATCAAGTTTCACAAATATATATATATATAAATATATATAAATACCCCCCCCCCCCCCCCCCCCCCCCCCCCTTAATAAAAGCAGGTCAGTTTTGTAAAATAAATTATGGTTACACATCATGTAAACTATAATATTATATATATCACATAAACTACGATAAGAACCGACCGTGATAAACGCTTTAGCCTTGTATCCTTGAATGAATTCACAGATTCAACTTTAACAAAATTTCCCCAGTCCGTCCTGAAGTGTTGTGGTGTGGAAGGTCCCTCTGATTGGTCGGCTCGAAATTACACCGCTCCCCCGACTTCTTGCTGCAAGGACAACGCCACCTGTGATTACGCTTCTGCCTACCAAGAGGGATGCTACCCTACCATTAGTGAGTTTTAGAGTCATTATCAGTGAAAATAGATTAATTATTAGCTATTATTTCCCTGTTTATTATTGTTACCATGGTTACCATTGTTACTATGGTTACACCATTGTTACTAAGATTTTTGTTCAAATTCAATAATATTAGGTCATATTATACATGTTATAGAACACAAGATTTTTCGATCTGTTTAATGTTTATAGTATATCATCCTTAAAACTCGTAATAATATATTAAAATCGTTAACTCTACCAGACACTTTCGTGAACACCAACGCCAAGTACATCGGATTCGGAGTTCTGGGTGTTGCTATTGTGGAACTCCTAGGAATGGCTCTCGCTTGTTACCTTCGGTAAAACAAATTATAACAATTTACATCGTTTACCTTATATGCCCAGATCTGTATAATATGCCACAGATCAATTTTGTTACTTTATTTTTTATTTAATGTCAATAACAAAAACTTCATCTAATAAAGTAATAACAATAACTGGTAAAATAAGAAGTAATTTTAATTCCAAACTCAGGTCGTTCATCATTAAGAGGACAGAATATGAGCAGCCCCATGCCGCTTAGTTAGGTAGTTAGTTGCTATAGATACACCGCATGAATCATAGCTTGAACTTTAAAATAAAGCATGTTCTATTTGACCAAAACCCATAATCATGGGTAGAGTGAACCGCTGCCAGTGTCTCTCTTTTCCAAACAAAAGAAAATGATATTAATTTGAGGAACCGTCCGCAAATGCAAATTGATACCGAGAATGAAATCGGTCGCTCGCTTTTCCCATTCAATAAGCTTTATTACAATACGTAAGCCGTGAATGAATGGGAAAAGCGAGCGACCGATTTCATTCTCGGTATCAATTTGCATTTGCGGACGGTTCCTCAAATTAATATCATTTTCTTTTGTTTGGAAAAGAGAGACACTGGCAGCGGTTCACTCTACCCATGATTATGGGTTTTGGTCAAATATCATCTCTTTTTGACTATAATGTCAGGATAATTTACACAGTCGAAACTTAATAAGGAGGTAATTTCAACGATTTCGAAATTTTACCTTTGAAAACGTTTCCTTGTGTTTAGGTAGGCATATCTGTCAATAACAGACTGAATATAGCACTTTTTACTCATTCAAGTTGGCATTAAATTCATATATAATGCCATTTTAATATCGTGGGAAAGCAGAATATATTCGAAATCACGAATGAGCAAAATTCTCACCTTTCGCACGTGCAAACTTTGAGCGGACGTTGCGTGCGCATAAAATATTGAATCACCATAAATTTTTGCATAGTGTTATTTAATATATAGTTTGATAAGCATGAAAAGTTTCAGAAGATTTCAAAAAGAACTTGGATCACAACGGGACTCCAAAGTTGGTAAAAATCGTGAAAATAACAATTTTTAGTGATTTTAGCTATTTTAAATGAATTTGGGCGTGTCCCCACGTGTGCAACTTTTCGATTTTCAACTTTAAAACTAGCCTATAACACAATTTAGACCTTTAGGAAGCAAAATTGAGCTCCACAACCCAAGGGATGGCCCAACACCAGAGAATACTAATTCACAACTTTTGTGTTTTTATAAAATTATTCTTCAAAAAAGCACAAACTTCAATAGCGAATATCTTTATGAAGGAGCAAGGTAGGAAAACTTTCCGGTAGATTTTCAGAATGCTTGAACAATTATCTGAGATGAAAATGTCCTCAGATTTTGAATAAAATTACTCCTTAATGCTTTAAAATCGATTTGAAAAGTTGTTATTTTGTCAAAAATCAAGTTTTAAAAACACTTAAATTGATGACGTCATCAAGTGATGATGATGACGATAAATTATTTTTCGATATAATGTAAACTAAAGTATAAACAATTATCTTGAAAACCTGTGGTTCGAAATGACTGTATCTTTTATACTTTTGAATCTACGGACACTTAAATGTAGGCTACAATTTACTGCAAAAGCGTCTATACATATATACTTATATATATACATATATAGCTTCACGACAATCTGTTGTAAAACAGGGGTTCCAGAAAACCCACTTCCCGATACTCCTGCAACATGAAATTTTTTTTACAGTCGATTTGGACAAGGTCTAGACGCTCTGCAAAGTTTCAGATCTCTAACTCGATTTTAACATGGTTTTTAAGGCACCTGAATATGGCGATTTTGGGTTTTTTACCTAATTTCGTATAACATGCTGGCGCGTATTTTGCGCAAATTTCTTAAAAACCTCCACATAACTATTTCTTATTCCTGTCATCTTTAACATCGAATTAGAATGTTTTGAACTTAAATATACCTGCTGAACTACTTTCGATGAGTCTTAATGCCTGGAAAACAATAAAGGGGATATAATAGTATAGGGGGTACATAGTGTTGTGAATATAAGGGCAACGGTTATGCTTGCCAGCATTGTGATATAGATACACTCCGCATGAATCATAGCATGAACTTTAAAATAAAGCATGTTCTATATAGATACGCTCCGCATGAATCTTAACATGAACTTTTAAATATTGTATGTTTGACCGTTATTAAATCTTATGAAACCAATTAATATTATAATTAAACATTGACAGAAGTCCCTTGAATTTCAATCTTACTTGTCGCTTGTCAGCTTTAACGTGTGTTATAGATATGCATGACACATGTGCATTGTGCATTGTACACTTGACACTTGATCTATATCTAAAACACTAATTAAAATTGTATCCCTAATTAAGCTAAATTAATCTTTTATTAATCCAATTACTATAACTATTCTGTAGAATCAGGATGAGCTTCACTTCTTCGTAACCTTATCAAACTTTATTACATTATGCCTTACAGCAGAGTTAAGATCAAATTAAGGGTTGGCTAAGAATTTAGAGGTGACCAACAATCAACATCAATGACACTCAGTTACGAAAGCAAAATATATTTTAAGTTCGCTTCAAAGGGTCACAACTCAGCACACCGTATGACTTTAATTAACATCAACTTATTTTCAGGACCTACATAATGAAGAGGGACGAGTATGAACCCTACACAGTATAATACGGGAACACATAGTAACCATAGTAACCATAGCAACCATAGTAACCATAGTAACACAGGATACCTTCGCACAGCTCAATACTCGGGCTCTATAAATGACAATTTCTAGGTGTTGATTTCTTTCAGACTGAACTCCTTAATTTTAAAATGTTTGCGCTTTTAGTTTCATAACTGTTTTTACTTGTCTTCGATACATCTCTACATGTCGTCAAATAGCGATTTCTGGGTTGTCTGGCGATTTATCAAAAACCGAGTTGTTTCTTTTGATCACAAAATATACTTGTTGGCATGATTGTTTCAATATCATTATATGATTATACATTTTTTATCCCCATTTTATACCAGCAATTTAACTAGTAATTAATAAGAACTCTTGGCGGACTAATACCCTGATGATAATTTTTACGTAAATATAATTTTTTAAATCGTATTTTTATAATCATATTCATTGTAAAATCTAAAATTGGGTGCATTGTAAAATTGTTAAAACATCTTATGTTGTGTGTTTCCCTTCGTATCGTGTCCAAAAGTATTATATTAAAACATCTTTTCATTATTTGCCATAAAATTAAACACAGACAAATCCAATTCTCACCAATAAAAAAGATTCCACGGTACAAAATACTAATAAAAATAATTACCTTTATCCCAGCTCACGTTTACGACAGAACAATCAGCCCAAAATACCATCTCACACCGATTCTCCGTACATTGTTAGGAATTATACTCGCGGCAACACATAAGGTATAATTAGTCCCTTGGTGGTTATATATACCTTTGCTGTCCGGGTTGTCCGGGCCGGTAGTAGCACTTCCCGTACTCATTATTGCTTGCCGTGCATTCTTGGTGGAACCAGGAATATGGGGGGTTGGTAGGGCATGTTCTGACTTCTGTGTCACGTGTTGTAGCCTTTGTGTTTATTGGAGCTGTGTTGTGTGCCATTGTTCGTTCAGTTTCTATCGAGATTCAAAATGATTGACGGTCGCATTCTAGGAGGAGCCAGGGATATGTGCAGGGGAGTTCATGTTAGGGCATATTCTCGTGACTTGTTGTAGCCTTTGTGTTTATTTGAGCTCTGCTCTGTGCCATTGTTCGTTCAGTTTCTATCAAGATTTGAGATTATTTACAGTTAGATTTTCGAACTGTACTAGCGGGAGTCTTTTGTTGGAAGGCAATTGTAACTTTATGGAACCTGTTTTCTGTCGAAGAATTTACGAATAGTATATATAGTTACTAGTATTCTTCAATATTTGCCACTCTCACAAGTCACAACAGCTGTAGTCAGCTCATAACTGTACGAGGTGATTTTTATGATAGATCAGGTTAAGAATATCATTCCATATACGTCATGATCATCAATTATCAATTAATTTTTTACCTGAGGACCCCAGGCTATTATGTTCATTAACGAATAAAGATTTGGCGGAATGACAGGCTGAGCGCGGCCCAGTAATTAATTTTAAGTGGTCTGACAGCACATTTCATTCATTCCATCTTCAGTCTCTTTGGGCACTCTTTGATCCATTCCATCTTCAGTCTCTTTGGGCAATATACTACAACACCACGTTCGATTTAGATACGCTACGTTCTTAGTTAGACTTAGTGGTTACGTATATTATGGTAATGGTATTTCTGCACATTCTTATCCTACTTTGGTATTGGTACCATACCGTTGACTACTGTGCAATTAACAGTGACCGTGACACTGCTTCCGTGACAGTTCATTATGAAAATGCCCATATTAGGGCATCTGAAAGTTAACATACAACTTGTCCAGACACATCGTAGTTTGATGATCATGTTCCTCATAAATTTCAACATAAGTTGACTTCTGACTTTTGAGCGATAAAAATGTAATCTCAAATATCATCCTATGACCGAGGCGTATTATAACCTGTCAGAATCACGAAATTGCAGCAGCTCATCCTGAGACCTGACTCTGTGCTCGTGTGTACAACTATTATTATTAAGACATATATTGATCGTAGCTGCTGTTTTCTTCTGAAGTCGAAGATTATCTGTCATATTTCACTGCCATCTAACAAACTGTATAGTGAGTATTGTCGGTAGTCTTGTTGAGCGCCTCCGGTGCATTATTTGATCCCTCGTCGATAATATTGCTATTGAGTGTCAAATTTTATGTTTTATTGCATTTGCAGAGGTGTATGAACATTAAGAAATGAAAGTGGAATATTTGCGTTCCGGGTCATTTCATGTTTCAACTTTAAGATTTGATACTTTCCTTTGTTCTTATATAGGGTTATAGTTATACTCTCAATATATGCTGCTGAATCTTAATTTCATTGAATGATTACTGAAAATTGATGAGGGCGGTGAAATTTGTGGCGGCCTCTCATGCTTATTACTTTATTATGCAGTTGAAAGTGCTACATAGTTCGGTTAAAGGCCTAATGATCTCCACGCCCGCAGCTGTCCTACAATAACCTCCTGCTCTAGGCCGATGTTCAGTGCTGGCCATGTGACCAATTAAAGGTGACCAATTGTAATAAGTGACCGATTGTAACACTTTCTTTACCAGCCAGTTACATTTCCCTTGACGCACGTCTGACGTAGAAGGTGCTTCACAATTGTAGGGAACAAAGTGGCTGCAATTTATTCTGCATTCCTAGAATTGCTGCAATAATACAGCTCAGCAACTGTAAATGTAAGGGTATAATAAAGACGGGAAAGTATGACTATTCATTATATATAATATTGCGTACTGACAGCTGTGCTTGACCGGGATTATAGCAATTGTTGTGATGGATTGTTGTCAGCAGCCACATCCATTGAGCTGATTGGATTACTTTATACGCCGATTTGTGATTCGTTTAATTATGCTGTTTTGTCATTTTATGTTGTTGAAAGCTTCCAAAATCAGGTCAGATGACATATTTTAATGACATATTCAGGTCACCAGCTAGGTACATTTTTGTTAGGTTATGTGTTATTTCTTAAAATAATTAGAAGCATTATAGGTCTCCAATCGTCCAAAATATCTCCTTTTTTGTTGTTGGTGGTGTCATTTGGCGGCGCCGCCACTATAAGTATATAAATGGATTATGACACCTGCATTAAATTCTATTTAAATTTAACTATGAAACTGTCACTCCTTCAATATCGACCTGGTGATTTTTTCCCTTGTTTATGCTATGCTAATTAAATATAATTGATTATTAATTAATGGAGATGTATAATTTGACATTACGAAGTAAAGAGTAAGTTCAAATGTATAGTGTATACTGATGACTTGCTCTGCCATTCAGACCACATCAAAGTTCACAAGTCCGACTCATTTCAGAACTTAAATATTATTTCAGCTTCGTTGCGATTGCAAGATCGTGGAAAGAAATAACGTTCACGATACGATGTTAAATGAAGAATTGTTCTTTCATACATGATACTGGTGTTTATAATTTTGTTTGTTTTGACGATCGGTAATACTAATCTTCTTAGGCATAACCATCGCTTGATTGCTTGTTGACTGTTGCTAGTTGTGTTCAATCATGCGATTGTACTGTATACATAATAATTCATTTTGGGCAGAACATAGCTGGTGATAGGTTAAAGAGATGAATGTGATCAGTCGATCATTCCTATAAATCTTTAAATCTTTTTCTGTCAACATTTAATTTGCGTCTCCCAAAAATGTAGGGGGAAAACACAACTACCATTAAGTCACAAAAATTGCAGCCTTCAGGTACTGCAGGTACTTCAGGTACTGCAGGTACTTCAGGTACTGCAGGTACTTCAGGTACTGCAGGTACTTCAGGTACTGCAGGTACTTCATGTACTGCAGGTACTTCCAGGTACTGCAAGTACTTCAGGTTGGATTTTTCAACAGTGTAGTATATAACGTTGCATTACACGATTGTTTAGTTTTAACAAATAACAATAATATAGACAAATTATACAATTTAGATAATAGATATTATCTATAAAACGTAACTTAATTGACTCAATTTCAATCTGTTGAGGGATTGCGATCTTTTTTCATTGTACACAACAGTACAAAGTACACAAATATGATAGAACGAATATCCAATGGTGCGGAAAAGTGCGGTATTAGGTCAATAGTGCGATTCTGCACCCACCGCACTTACATGATTGCAATGCAAGGGACCATTTCGATGCAAGGATCTTATGCCTATGATGAAGGAAATATATAAGTAACCAGTATCTTCCATCAATTAGGTATATAAAATACCAAATACAGGCCCGCAACCCTGGGTTAGTGAACACAACCCACCAATCATATCATCCCCAGTAATCACGTGACTCACCGAATCACCATGACAACCAGTCCTGCATCTTAACCCAAGCACGTGGTACAGTACGGTACATGCAAGCCATATGAAGCTGTATATTGTGTGCTCTTATAATGGTAATTACGATCGAGCTGTGTATACAATATATATAGCTAGCGATAGAGAAAGAGAGAGAAAGTGAAGGTTCTGTGTATACTATACCTTATTACTGTAGATTAAGATAGTAGTATCACACTAGTACTGTGTGCAGCGCCTGTCTGTTTCCGGTTCTTTAATTATAAACACAGCTCTCTGATCCTGCTTCAATACCCATGGAACCTTCCTGCTTTTAGTGGTCGTGCCGCTGTTTAATTTAGAACGTTTATAGATGGAGCTGCATCTGTTTGTAGAGGCCGAATGTGTTCTTGCGACATGTTTGGTTATCAAGGATTATTCTAAGTCCTTTTATTTGTTTGAAATGGAAGGCTGCAGGTCCAACCGATCAACCAAAAGACTCTTATCATTCCAATCATTCAAAGACACGTCCCATATTTAAAAGAGGTCTCGGTGGATAATTTGAAAACGCTTTTTGAGTGGATGCTCTGATTGCAAGCTTTGTCCTCAAATTAAACAAAATAGCCTTGTGGGCTGTGGCCATCCCATTAGCATCAATTATTCTCACAATTCACTCCCCTCCTATTTGTTGAACCATATTTGGTCCGAACGCTCGCCCTAAAGCACTACCACTGCATGTCCACCAATCAGTGAAGAAGTTCTAAATAAAATACTAAATAGTTCTCAATTCTTCCAATACAACTGCAGTCGGGTGTTTGAATAGTTGCTTTATGCTTGTACAGAAAGATGGCTACATGTCTTAGCACAAACCGGCCCTAGAACTTCCAGTTCCAATTTATAATAAGGCTTTATCCAGCTCAATTACAGCACTAAATGAGTGCATAATTGCTTCATAAATGCATAATCGCTGCATAATGTGGGCGCTGACGTACATACTGGACTGTTCAAAGTACGGTCGTTATAAAGTTATAAGTGTCCGTGTTTTCAACAGCTCCTACGATCGCCTGGTGTACACAATACTGCAATATAGCTACACTATACAGTATACTACACACTACCGCACTACATGTACAATACGTGTGCACTTACTTGTCCAGTCCTGTATAAAATATGTGTAGACAGCAGCTTGTGAGTAATGATGTTTGTTTTCCTGCTGGAGAGAGAAGCAGTGGTA